TTTTACAGAAAAAAAAAGAGCCCGTTTCATATTAAAAAAAAAAAAAAAAAAAAAAAAAAAGAAGACACCAAAGCAGCATGTGTAGTGATTGATTTAAGAACTCATTTCAGTGTATTCCATTGTTCAAACATTTATTAGCAAAAATCCAAGCATAATCAAAGATATTAGTGAAAAGAAGAATGAAACAAGTATTTGGAGTACTCTAGTGTTTTTGTTCTCAAATAAGGAAAAATGTAACTTGAGTGAATTGAACATGAAAAAGAAGAAACAAATCCTAAAATTACCTTTCAGAAACAGTACTGAGATTTTTACAGTAAGAAGAAACTCAACAAACAAACAACAAACCTAAATAAAACAAGATTTGGCTTCAACCATGAAACATCTGAGCTTTCCTTAAGCCTGTTCTCAGATGGCTTCATTCTCTCTGAGTACTCATTTGGGTGCTTCAAAGCCAAAGTCTTGTCACTTCTTGGGTCACTTGTTGCATTATTCAAGCAAACAGGAGCTTCTAAGTAAACAGAAACATTTCTCTGGTAAGCCTCATTTCTGGTGCATAAACCATTGTTTCCTTTGATATCTAGTCTCTTTCCAAGCCTTTCAATGAAATCTTCAGGAAGTAATACTTCTCCACTTAGCTGATTGTTGCTCAAATTGAGGAGATCCAAACTTGGAAGTGTCCCCAAACTTGGAGGAATTGGCCCAATGAGGCAGTTGTTGTCTAGAGAGAGAGAGGAGAGAAGTTTCAAGGAAGAAAAAAAGGTGGGCAATTTTCCTTTCAATCCACAGCTTGAGAGGCTCATTGTTTGGACCTTTTTAAGCTGTCCTACAAACTGGGGTATACCTGTGTCTAAAGGGTTGTGATCTAATATCAAGTACTCTAAATTCTCCAAACCTGAGAGGGTTTCATGGATTGGACCGTTTAGTAAATTGTTGCTCAAGTCGAGCAAGACCAAGCTCTTGAGATGACCAAGATTTGGTGGAATATTTCCGATAAGTTTGTTTGAGCCCAAATCAATTTTTTGGAGGGAATGAAGTTGACCCAAAGAAGAAGGGACTTGACCCTCTAGAGAGTTCCAACTTAGGTCCAAAATGATCAAGTTTTCTATGCCTCCAATTTCTTCAGGGACTTCACCACTTAAATTGTTGTAACTCAAGTCAAGTTGCTCCAACATGACCATTTGACCAATCTCCTTTGGTATCTCTCCCATAAGGCTATTTTGAGACAGGCTTAGGACTCTTAAATTGGCAAGTTTTGCTAGGCTTGATGGGAGTTCACCAGAGAGAGAAGGATTGGACTCGAGAGATAAATGTTCCAAGGAAGAAAGTGAACCAAAAAGAGAAGGAGAAAGAGTGACTTGAGAGGCTAAAAAACAGTTGAAGATTGACAGGGTCTTTAGATAAGGTAACTTGAGCAAGGAATCTGAGATTTTAGCAGAGTTTTTGCAAGGAGGGTTGAGAATATCTGGGCCAATATGGATCTTTGTGACATGAAAAAGTGAAGGCTCTTCTTGACCAATCTCACACTGAACACCTGGCCATGGGGTCTCACTACATGGTTGTGGGTGTTGTTTGGACCAATCTGAGTCACCAACAAGAGCCTCAAACACATCAAAAAGCCCCAAAAGTTCCTCCTTTTCCATATCCATTTCAAACTCATCATCTGAGTTGCTCTGAGCTAAACTCACTTCGCAAGTCAAAACAAGGAACCCAACAAGGAAAAAGGACAGAAAAGAAGAAGCCATGAGAGAAGAGAAAACTCTCATTTCATAAAGAGCAAACAAAACAAAAGAAAACCCAACTCCCTCACTATTCAACTTACTATTCAACTTATGACGAAGAGAATGTACAACAGCGGGATGAGATGGGATTTGAAAAAAAAAAAAAAAAAAGTTCCTCTACTTTATGATAATGTTTAGTCCTTCCCTTTTCCTTTGAAGTGAATTGGTGGCAAAGGAGAAGAATTAAAAGAGAGTATCTTTGGAAACCCTTTTTTGGTGCCAATGTGTATTTTGTGTCAGTCACTAAGGATGAAATGACATGAATTCTAAGCTTGTCGCCTGTGCTCTATCCCCACACTTTTCCATGTGGTGAATATGACAGTTTTTAGTTTGCATGGAAAAGAGAGTGACAAGAGGGAAAGCAAGTTTAATATAAGTAGGAACAATTTGTCAGAATATGCATTATTAGTTTCCCATAGAAATGGTAACACGATGGGACTTGGCTACTTTTTTTTTTCTTCTTTTCTACGGTGAATTTTATTATAGAGGATAAAAAAGATAACATGTTGGTAGAGTTTGTTTTAAACCATAGATTTGTATGTATAAGATTTTATTAATTTTATGTACTTATTTATTTTAACGTGATTTTAAATAAATTTAATATTTAAAAACATACACTATTTATAAGTGGTTTTAATGTAGAAAATACCCTCTTTTCTTTTTTGGTAATGGCTAAATTCTTAAAAAGTCAAGTTCGTTCATTTTACTATTAGAATTGAGAATTTAAATTAAAAAGTAAATTAATATAAGAGAAAATATTATATTAAAAAAATTAAATTTAAATTTTTATAAAAATAAATTCTGTAATAAAAATTTAAATTATAATTCGAATTACAAAAATAAAAAGGGCATCAGAATCTTTACTTTCATACGTGTAGAACCGCCAATTATCTCTCTCATTAATTGGTTGGATTTGGAGTTCTATTTCTGTCCCTGCCTTTCATATATATACTTTTTACTACCCGAGAAGGGTAAAAAGAAAGCTCTACTTCTAAGTGGACGTCATTTTCACCAAAACTGTTCCTGCTATCTGTTACTTATATTTCCCAAGCATGGAATCAAGCCAAACTCATTTTATCCTGCATAAAGATATTAGAGCAAATTTGTAATCAATTATTAGAGGATTGTAAATTTTCACCCAAATAAATAGACTGTAAATTAGGGTGTTCTACTTCTGTATAGTTGCTTATAAGTTGTAAATGAAACCTTACAGTCTTGGCATAGTATTTTCTTAAGGTTGTGTGTGTCTCTATAAATCAATGAGTTATATATGCAGGAAGAATCCGTAGGAGCCGAGTCATTATAGTTTAGAGCAAGGCTGCAATATGGATAAACACGGACCGTGTTAGACCAGACATGACAACACACTTGTGCCTAATTAATCGAGGTGTGTCAAGTATGACCCACTTATTTGACAGCTCTGATCTCAGCCACTGAATGAGTTTTAAAATGATTCTATTTGTTGAAACTTTTTTTATTTTTTTATTTTTTTACTTTTGTCTCCCTGTAATTGATAATTACTTTTAACTGCTTGGGTTTTTTTATAATCATCTAATGACTAAAGATATACTTTTTCACATATTTTGGTGTTCTAGGCGTAAAGAAACCGCACCAATCCATCCCCAACTTGGTGGTTAACAACTCCAGTGACGATTTATAGTTCAACCTTGTAGTTTCCAAGAGAAATAGCAATACGATGGGACTTGCTACTTTGACCACACTCGTGATCTTTCATTTATGAAGAACCCACTTCCCAAAATATACATTTAGGCTGAGAAAGTCAGTTTACTATGCCTATGAAAAAACAATAAACTGTTAGTTTACAAATACGATTCCTTTAACTTCCGTGTTTAAATCTAAAAATCAACCTGCATGCACGAAAACTAAGATATGAGGGCAATGACATAAAGAACTAAATACAAGCCTTGTTAGGCTTTATGATAAACTGAGATGAAACAAAGAAAAGGCAACACTTTTCACAGAAGTATCAATTTGGTATATTGAGCTCACTACCATATTCCTCATAGATCTGACTTGGCAAATCTTCGAACACTGCAGCAGGAGATCACGCAAAATTAATACTACCAAGTTTTGGCCCTTTGTTTAGCAGAAATCCTGGTCCATTATGAAAAATTACCATGTAATACGTAATCCTACCAACTCAACTAGATATGTTTTTCTCAATGCAATGCCAAACAAGGTTCCGAATGAGGACCAGCAAAAACCAATTAAAAGAAGCAACATTACATGCTGGACCTGAAATTTCAACAAAAAGAAAATGCTGAACCTGAAAATTAGTATACCCTATATAGAAAAAAGGTATTGGATATATTTTCTTAGGAGGAAAAAGAATTATTGAACACAGAGTGATGTTTCTTCTCAGTGACAAGTGCTAGCTTAAGTGGCGGACCTTAATCTATGTGCATAGCAACAAATACATTACACTATCTGAATCCGCCCTAATCGAGTGGTAGAGCTCTAAGTTTGAGCTGAGCTAATCGGGTCTGTCCAAAGCCTGCCATTACGGGTGGGGATGGGGATTGCAATAATCCTCGAGGGGCGGAAGATCTGCCCTCACTAGTGGGGATAGAAGATAATAATTTGTGATGGGTTCACTACAAGAAATATCAGCATTAGTAGCTGACAAAAAACGCTATTAATCATTAACAATAGCGTTTTGTGGAACGCTAAGACATCGGACGCTATTAAAAGTCGTAAGAAAACATAGCGTTCTAAGAGAGTTACTGAAAACGCTATAGAATTGAGATATTATAACGTTTAAGACAAGTTATTTTCAACATCTTACAACTATTTAACATGGCTACGATACAGATTAATAGCTTTTTTTCCTTGTGTTTATACTCTTGTAGCTTTTTAAAATTATTATTGATATCCTTTTGAATTTAAAATTATTATTGATATCCTTTTGAATTCATTCAAATAGATGGTAATTCTGAGTAACATCTTATATCTAAATAGGAACATTCAAATTAAAACATAAAAACATTCTACGTATCAATTATTATCAGTATCTACCAAGTTGGCAATAAAATTACGTTTACAACATAACTCATACAATGTCCAAAACCTTAACATTCAAAACAAGTAAAGAAAACAGAGGAATAGCTGGAGATATTAAAGTATCCAAAACGTCTAACTAAGTGAAATGGTGAAAGTAAATCCTTCCATCTTGACAAAATGCTTCAAGAAAAAGTCATCTCCATTGTTTAACCTGTAAGAAAGTGATCTACTATCAATATAAAGAAAAAAAGACACATGTTAATGTTGAGGTAGAGCTGGTTTCTTTTCCAGCATCTCATAATGAAGCACAAAATTATCCTGCGATCGAAGTTTACTTCAGCCGACTACCCAAAGAAAGAAAACTCAAATGTATTTGGATCAAAACAGTGATAGGATCCTCTCTTAGGTGTTTGTTTTGACTAGGGGCTCCATGTTGGGGACCCTAATAAACCACAAGCAGTGTTCTTTGTGATAAAACCAGCCTCTGTTATAACTGCGATTGAAGATGTCAGTCAAGGCAATTAGTAAAACATTCAGTCGACTTGGTTACATAATAGATTTTGAGTAGACAACGTGCATATAGAAAGTGCTTAGAAATAGTAAGTGAGAAGTGCTTACAGTTCATTTGCGGCATATAACTGGGCTTCGTCTTTAGGCATGCTGCACAAGAAAGTAATGGAAGGTTTTTTCTTTGTATTTGGATCTTTCAATTATTTCCACGTTTCCAGGTGTTGGCTCTTCTTTTTTTTTTCTTGGTACACAAACTAGTTTGCTTTTCACAATCTCTAATTAACCACAACTTAGATTTGCAAAAATGAAACAGACTCATGTTTCCATTTGAAACCACCGAATCAGATAAGCAAAAGAACTATTTGCAACACCAGATGATCATACCTGGGAATGATAAGATGAATGTGAAGATGGAAACATATCAGAGCCATGTACGTGCAGCAGATCCTGATTGTTTCCAGGTGTGAAGGACACACCACTACTGCTGACTGATGGAGCATGTTGCTGTTGCTGCTTAGGTCGATGAGATGAATATGTTGCTCCGAGATTGAATCTAGCAGACCTCCCCATCTGGGTATTGAAACATGGAAGTATTAAGAGTAAACTCATAAGATAACAAGGACATGTAATTAAAAAAGAAAAACGATCTAAGACCTGAGATTGCATCATTGACATGCTATTGTCGTGAAGTTGTTCTTTCTGGTGCATATCCATTGCATAATCAGCATTACCAGCTGGGCAAGATTAATAACATGGTGAACACATACAGTTCCAAATCGACGTGTGGTAACCAGTACAGGTAATATCTGTGAAAGGTACTGGTTTCATTAATAAAAGAAAAATACACTAGACACCAACTAACAACTAATGAAACATCCTAATTTACAAATGCACAAGACCAGAAAGCTTATAATTACATGCCATACAGGCAAGTAGTGGCACATTCACAAAGAAACTGATACCACGAAGGGCATTGGATCTTGATACATATCACAGATACAGCCCACATACCTAAAAGGCCGAATGCCACAGCCTACATACCAAAAAGCCTGGAGGGGAAGGGGAAAAAAAAAAACAAGAAAAACAACAACAACAACAAAAAAAAGTGATACCTGAAAAAGCAAGTAACCAAAAAAAAAAAAGAAAAAGATTGCAAAAGAAGCGACCATAGAATTCGCTTAAAAGAAATAAAAATTGCACCATGAACATGAATAAATATTATTTCATATTTTTGTCTCCAAGCCATCATAACCACAACGAAAATAGAACAAGAAAAACAAGAGTAAATTCGGATTTAAACTAAATAGGAGGAAAAAGTGGAAAACCCTACCTCAAAAATAGAAGCTCCTTCCTCAAAATTTCTTGAGGGCTTAGCATCCCGACGTTGCCCTCAACATTTTGAATCAAGTAGTGTCGACCTCCACCGCCGGAGATGGCGGCTCAAGG